ATCCAAGCAGTGTGCTGTTGCTGGTGGTAGGGCAAATAGGATTTTAGATTGTATCTACAGAAATATTGAATACAAATCTAAAGAGGTTATACTTTCATTGTACAGGTCACTGGTTAGGCTACTTTTGGAATATTGGATCCAGTCTTGGGATCCTTATCTTAGGAAAGACATTAAATTGTTGGAAAGGGTTCAGAGGAGGGTTACTAGAATGGTGCTTGGGATGGAGGGGTTATCTGATTGAGGTGTTTAAGATTGTAAAGGGAATTGATAGTGTTGATGCATCATCTTTTTTCATACTTAACAGTGAGAATAGTAGGACTAGGGGATACATAAATTTTGGCAGGGTAGGAGTCATCTTCAGCTAAGACAGTTTTATTTTTCTAACAGGGTGGATAGCCTTTGGAATGGGTTGCCTTTGGATGTTGTTGAGGCAGTAAATTTAAGTGAGTTTAAGAGAAAGCTTGATAAGTATATGAATGATAAGGGCTGGGTTTAATATTTAAAAAAAAAATATTTATTAATAGTTTAAGTTTATTTTAGGAGAAACAGTTGAGATGGACCAATAGGTCCGATATTGTCCCAAAACATTACGTTGTGTTATTTTAATATTCTCCTGTTGCATACAGAATCAGTTTATGTTAATTTCCTGTCAAGTGTGAATTTAACATGTCCTTGTTACATGGCTACAGTGAGAATGTCATCACATGTTTACCAATGCTGTTGCAAAATGTGGCTTTTGGTGTATATCAGTTTTTTTTTGTGGGCATATATTAAAATTTATTTTAAAATGCTTTTTCGTGTAACAAATATTCTACAGTTTGTTAATGAAAGCAAAAACTGCTAAATCTGTGTTCTTTAAAAAAGCTGACACTGATGGGAGATTGATTGACCATTTATACCATAAACTACAAGAATCCTTTCATTATTTTTTTATGCCAGTTTTTTTTTCAGCCCGTGTACTTATGTTTTCAATGGAATCTCTGTTTATTTTTGTCTTGTGTAAATGTGTAAAATAATTAATACATTATGTTAAAATGTAGTATATCTGTCCATTTACATGTGGTCGAGTATGTTGTGTTAACTGAATGTGCATGGGGTCGATCATTGGAATGTTGATTATCTGCATGAAATATGGCAAGCTTCTAGTCAAATGTACGAATGTGTTGTACACAAAGAACCAGATGTGTTACAAACGTGTATGTATACAAGATACGTTTGTGAACTGACAATGTAAATCTGTCTTCAACAAGTTGGAGTACAAAGTGAAAATAAAAGTATTTTTGCCCATCGCATACTGTTTGCATAATATCTAGAATGTCCGAAATACATCTGTATATATAAATATGTACATTTTTCTTTGTTTTTTCAGTATCCCTGTAGTTCCTCTCTTCTACTACAATCCATCACTAAGTCAGTAGGGTATAAAATGAATGCCTGGTAACTCTGACATCTGTATATATATAAATATGTACATTTTTGTTGTTTTTTTCAGTATCCCTGTGTGGCCAGGTGGTTACGGCGCTCGACTCGCAATCTGAGGGTCGCGGGTTCGAATCCCCGTCACACCAAACATGCTCACCCTTTCAGCCGTGGGGGCGTTATAATGTGACGGTCAATCCCACTATTCGTTGATAAAAGAGTAGCCCAATAGTTGGCAGTGGGTGGTGTTGACTAGCTGCCTTCCCTCTAGTCTTACATTACTAAATTAGGGACGGCTAGCGCAGATAGCCCTCGTGTAGCTTTGCGCGAAATTCAAAACAAACAAACAGTATCCCTGTAGTTCCTGTCTTCTACTCCAATCCATCACTAAGTCAGTAGGGTATAAAACGAATGCCTGGTAACTCTGACATCAAATACATAATACCATGTACAAGGTCATGGCATGTGAACTTTGGTTCACACGCATGATTGTAGTTTTGAATGAGCAAATCAGTGAGTCACATGACAAACACACAGAGCCAGTATAAAGTAGTAGTGGAATAGAATTTATCAGGACTAGTACAACAATTAAACTGCATACGCAACATACGACTCTTACCGAGTTACATAATAAAAATTAGTTAACTTTTAACACGTGTTATGAAAACTAAAATTTCATTATATATATATATATATAT